GTGATTTGTTCTGGCAATTTAAATCTACGGGTTGGATATTTTTCTTTATTTCTTGTCATAATTAATTGTTTTAGAAAGAGCCGAAAAAAGCAAACATAAAACAAATAAATTTGAAAAAAAAGAGAAAAGAAATGAAAGAGAATTCGAATAAAATAACAATTAACAAATTGACGAGATAGTCTCCTTGTTATGAGGAGCTTATCATGCCAGATTCAAAACATCGGTGTTTCATATATTTTTAAAAATCGTTTGCTTCCGGTACATATTTTATATTTTGATTTCGTTTACTTGGTAAGCAATCAACTAACAGTCGAGAGATGTCTGGTGACCTTTGAAATTCATGGCTGTTCAGAAACGAAAGATATTTACCAAGCGTAGGTTAGTTGTTCATCAATTCTTGCGTTTCTCTGTGTGTGCCTCTGTGTATATATGTCTCTGGGGTGGGGAATCAAATCTGTACTTACCATTCAAACCAAGCACGCCGCCATATTCTTGATCAGATAGAAATTGCGGTTGCATTTCCTTCCTTTTTTATGGAGGAGCTTACACTGCTGGTAAACCGAAAGTCATCCGGGAGTGGACAATAAATTGCCAAGAATAGACATATGGTGTGTACAACGGAAGATAGGAAAAAATGTAGCTGACGGAAGGTACACAAGTCGATACCCGATCAGTATCGGCAGGGTCACCGTGGAGAGGGGGTATGATGTTGAGAGACCCGAAACCCCTAATGAACCTCGGCTAGAAACATCCCTGATGATGTGTACTAAAGCATCCAATAAATTTATTTTACGAAAGTATATTTCCATTCGTTTAGTTGATAAGCAATCAACAGTCGAAAAATATCCGGTGACCTTTGAAATCATGGCTGTTTAGAAACAGCAGTGTAGATATTTACCAAGCGTAGGTTAGTTGCTCAACAATTCCACATACTGCACCGATAACCGTTTCACTACCCCTGTATACACAAATATCATAAATGATAACGTATAAAAATAGAGTTCTGTGGGATTACTTCACCTTGTCTACCAGGACGTCCGTTAGATGGCGTTGTATTCAGAACTATATAAGGAACAGTCTCAACTCCACTTCTTTCTCTCACTTTTCGCCAGGATGCAGTAGGTAGAAGATGTATCAAGACTTCCCCTCCTATGAATGTTCGGCGCATGGCAAGCTGACTTCTTAATTTCACTCAACTATGTCACGCATAAGTATAGGGAATCAATTGAGGATCGAACTCAAAGTTCAATTGTAACGATCAATACCAAGTGGCAATATAGTTATTTATGACACTACTTCAATAAAACGCCCCAGTCGTAAAAAAAAAAAAATAGGGATTTTTAAAAAAAAAACAATTTTTGTAGATTAGCGTTCATTAGACAAGGCGCGAAATTTGTCAGATATTAAAAAAAATATATTGAATTTTATAATTTTACAAAGTGGTGCTGGGTGGGGGCTGTTTATAATATCGATACATTGTAAAATCGATTTCTGGTTTTATAAAGAGTTACCTCTATTTACTTTTTCTTTATTTACAAATGTCAAGTTTGAAACTGCTTATTACATTTACATCTGCGTACACGAAAAGACTTTGTTTTTTGCAAAAAAAAAATTCTTTTTAAATAAATAACATGTTGATATATACGAGGTTTGATCAAAAAGTATAGGGACTGGTATATAAAAAGAAAACTTCAATACATTTCAATTCGGCATTTAATCTCCTTCGGAGTAGTCCCCCTTCTGAAGCCAAATACTTTATCCAGCATCATTCCCATTGATAGAAGAATGATCACTAATGGAAAATTTGCGGTGTGGGGAGACGACCACACCTACACATTTTACTCATTATGGGTAAATAGCAAGACAGACTGGGTTCTATAGCCTTGGATGGCAACTGGTCTAGGAGAAGGACAACTCTGAATTCAAAATCTGCGGAGGTTCGCTTGGGGACCTTGTGGCACGTAGTGCACCAGGTTTCTGTATTCGGGCCTTCAAAAAGTGTGGATGGTACTGCACAAAACCTTCACCACTATAATCAAGTCACATGCTGGTGTCTGGGCTGTCGGTTCCTAGGAACTGAGCTGCTTGCCCCTCGTCACACACACACACACACACACACACACACACACACACACACACACACACACACACACACACACATATATATATATATATATATATAATATTAGTGGTTAATATACATACATATAATATATAAATATATATACATATATATGTATGTATATAAGATATATAAATATATATACATTTTATTTTTATATATAATTATTTTTATATATAAATATATATATATACATATATATTCATTTTATTTTTTATTCCCGGAGTTATTTTTTCTGATTTTTTTTCTTTCTGATGAAATGGATCGTAATTACGATTCCAATGTAATAAATTATAACCATGCAATATTAATGTTTAAGTTTTTTTATTTTTATATATATATATATATATATATATATATATATATATATACCTTAGCGAGCCAGGTTTCACCTTTGACGATCCGCTTAGGTGAAACCTGGGTAGGTTTGTCTGGCTCACGAGGTTTATCTAGGTCTGCTCTACGGTTGTATTGAGCTCTTTTAGTTTGTTGTTTACTCGTGTCGGGGTTTTTCTTTAGTCTTCAAACCTGTATCTGTGCGATTTTTTTTCGACAGACATTCATGTTTTTAGCTCTTTCTTTTTTTAAAACCTTTTTTCCTTCGAGATTGATTTGATTATTGGCAAATCAAAAATTCGATAGTTTTTCGAAACGAGTATAGTTACCTATATATATATATATATATATATATATATATATATATATATATTAATTAAAAGCAAACAAGCGGATTTCTTTTTTAGTTTCTTTTTTTTTTTTTACAAAAACATTCCTTTTAAAATACAAACGGATAATTTTTAATCAATTTTTTATCCAACATTATTTGTTTTTATTATAAATGTTTTTTTTTTGTGGTTACATGTATATTGAGTTGCTATCCCTGTATTTTATTTTCCTAAACAGTGAAATTAATAGAAGCCGGTCTAGATTGAGTAGTCCCACTAAAGAATGATTGTGCCTCCGATAGGAATCGAACTTTCATCTCCTTTTTCATCAGGGAAAGCGCTTCCATAGCCGAATCATGCCTTTATAAATTCGATCACGGAGGCTACTTTGATAGGGCAAAGTGTGAAATACCTACTTAAGAAAATAGACATTACTTATTGTGACTTCTACGAATCTATATCTGAACGTTATTTTTAGTAGTGACACGTAGTTGAGTTGCTATTCTTGCTTTTTATTTTCTTCAAGTTAATTTCTTAGTTTAAAAAAAAACAAAAAAAAAAACAAAAACAAACAGGAATAGCAACGCCAATACGGGTACCCACTAAAAATAATAAAAATTTTAGTTGGTATTTTGTTCCATTCTTCTTCTATGCGTGTGTGTGTTTAAAAATGTCTCACCTGAAAAACAATTGCTTGTTTAAAATATGTATAAATCCCTTTGTTCTTTAATTAAAATAAATGTTTTTTTTTGTCAAAAAACGTCATACGCAGAGATCAATGACAAACACAGATTCAAACTTGACATTTGTAAATAAATGTCATGCTACTATTAGGAATGTCTAATGAATGTGAATCTACAAAAACTATTCTTGAAAAATCCCCCCCCCACTATTTTCTTAAGTAGCGTCGTTATTTACGAAGCGTTCGTTCGTTTTTCTTACCATACCAAAAGTATCCAGTAAGGATCGAACTCAACACTAAGGATTAATGTGAAGTAGCGATACAATTTTACACTGCCATCTGGAGAATACGGCTTATGTAAAAGTTTCTTCCGTCACTTCATCAAAAGTGCTGGTCGCGACGGAAGTGTGCCATTGAGCGGAATAGATCATAGTTACTCCGAGCAGCATTGGAACTGAATGGTGGATGTGGAAGAATCTCAACACCGTCCGTCTGTTTGAACCTCACCTTAGTCAAATTGGCAGCGTGTAGGCTCGCATTGCCGTGCAAAAAGAAAGCCCGACCTCGACTGACCAAAGCAGGATACTTCTTTTTTAGTTAGTCGTACACGCTGTCTAGCTGCTAGTAATATAGTTTAGCGTTGATGGCGCGGCCGTATGGAACAAGCTCGAAATGCAGTAATCCTTGGAAATTCCACCAGAGAGAGAGAGAGAGAGAGAGAGAGAGAGAGAGAGAGAGAGAGAGATTTGTTGTTTTGTTTCTGCTACCTAAGTTTCTGTCCCCCCCCAAAAAAAAACATACAAGGGAACACTAAAAATTATCTGGTATAACTTGGGGACAGCAATCAGAATGCGTTTGAGAATCCAGGTTATAGTGGCGTGGGGCATAGAGGTTAAAATGAACTGTTGATTTACACACGCCAAGAAGATCAATGAAAGATGATAATAATGAGGTAACACGCGCGTAATTTTAACAAAACAAGCTCAGGAATTTATTCACGAATTTACACGCTTGAAGTAGTGTCAGTATCTCGTTCAGGAAAATAAATCAGAATTACGTAGTTTTAACGTGTTGCCATGAAGAGGAAATATTCATACAACAGATTTGACGATCTGATACAAAATAATATTAAAAAATATTTAAGACAAAGTTAAGAGATTTCGTTGCTCACCGAAGGGATATATGGTTTGCATACATTCAAAATTATACAAAGAGAGATAGTTTAAAATACTTAGCTTTCTTGTCTTGTTGAGAGAAAATTCTTTGAACTTCCGCGTGCTGGTTAGAGGCCGATAAATTGGCGAGTAACTTCGCGTAGGCTGGTTACTTTCTTTTCTTCTTCTTCTTGACTCACCGACTGTGAAGGCAAGGTTTTCATTGGTCCAAAAGGTTTCACATAGGCTTGCAAATTTATTTCCTTCTCCTCGGCTCACCGGTTAATTTTCTTCTTCCTCAGTTCTCTGAATTTGAAGGCAGTGGGTGAAGGGAGATATTATTATTTCGCATTCATTACAGGGTAAATCGAGTTCTA